ACTCACATCGCCATGTTTGGCAGCAAATGTTTTTAGCCATGGAGCCATCCTGTCAGCCCTACATAAATGAATTTGCAGACATACACATCTTTAAATATTTATTTCCCAGGAACCCTTTCTTCAAAAACTTCACAGGTATTTTTCAGCTGTTACTAACCACAGGAGAGAGATGGACATTGTGATTTGTGTTTGTTTGGGTTAACTGTCTGCATATGAAAGGGTCACTGTTCTTTTAAGGAATATACAATCCAGAGTCCTGAGAACCTGTCAGTCTCAGTGTCTATTAAACTCACAAACTACTGGAAAGCATAAAATGGCAGAGAAAAAGTCAATAAAGATAGCCTCTTAAATGTTAGAGACTCTGAAGTTAGTGGACAAGGATTTTAGGCAGCCACATGTCTGTGCTCAGGAAATAAAAACGAATCTCTCAAGGAGTGTGTCCTACCCACATAAGGAGGTGAAGTTCTAGAGAGAAAGGGGGGATAGAGCTCCAGGCAGGGTGGGAGAAGTCTGGAGGCTTGAGACAGCAGCACTCACTCAGTCACCACAGAAGGGGGAGCTGTGCTGAGGGCAGCACCCAGGGGCACCCAGGTCTTGCATGAGGTTCTAGCAGGTTCACAAAATAGTAAGCCAGGAACAGAAAGGGACACAAGGTAATTATTAATGTCAAGGACAACCAAGAAAACAAATTATAAAGAGAAATTTGATCATTTGGCTAAGCCATTGACAATGTTTATATAGTCAACGAGTAAGTACCAGCTTTATATTCAACAGAAAGGCAAAATCTGAAGGAGAGGAAGCGGGTGGTTAAATTCAGACCTTTTGAGATGGCTAACCATCAGCCTCACAGTAAGGCAGTCTGTGATAGTTAAACTGAAAATAAAGCATTGCAAATTCATTCCAGTAGATTCAGTTTATTTCTAACAAGAGCAAGAGTTGGAAGTGGTTGCTAGTGGAAATACTTTGAATGTTGTAAGCGGTGTGGGGACTTGCTCCAGTCATAAGAAACCTAGACTGCATTTGACTCTTCTGTCATATACTTTTAAGAAAAAGATTTAACTAGAATTTAACATTTAGACCTGACACAGTTTCAGTATATAATAACAGCACTACTAGGAAGATGGCTATAGCCAGTAAATCCATGATCATTTGGAGACACTAAATTTTAGAAGTTGGTCAACAAAAATCCCCAAAGAAAGGCCTGAGTTAGGATAAACACTGTGGAGTAGAAAGCATATTCCGAGCCCTGGACAGATTCATAAAACACACTTAGACATTGCTGAAAATGTTATAAACTAGAGACAAATCCCAAATGTTATTGTCATTGGCAATAGTGAGAAGTTGAAATGTTTATTTATAGGATGAAAGATTAAACTAGATGTGGTATATACCAATAATCCCCAAACTCAGGAAACTGAGGCAGGAGAAGCAAGTTCAAAATCAGCCTTTGCCTACATAGTTAGATGCTAGGTAGCCAGTGATGCAGAGAACCTATCTTAAAAAGCAAACAAAAAACACACTTGAAATAGTATGTGTGGTGTGCATTGTACCTTTCAATAGGATCAGCCTTCCAATACAGTATTCTGAACTATTTAAGACATAAACATATTGAGTTGTGATGTTAGGTTAATTGTTTACTTTCCAGTGGTTGTAACAAGTACAACTAACCCTTTTCTGAAAAGCCCTAATCTGAAGAGGTAGAAACTCCTTGACTGCTACTCTCTTGGTAGAATTATATTTTATCAAGTTCCCGAGTACCAGTTTTACCAAGTTTAATCCCAGCACTCTGGAGGCAGAGGTAGGTAGATCTCTGTGAGTTCAAGTCCAGCCTGGACTACAGAGCTAGTTCTAGTTCCAGGACAGGCTCCAAAGCAATGCAGAGAAACCCTGTCTCAAAAAACCAAAAAAAAAAAAAAAAAGTCAATTGATTAAAGTAGCCATTATGCTTAAAGTATTGGTCTATGCCACAATTTCTAACCTATGTTGTACAATTAAGTATTGGTTGTAAAAAATGGAAAATGTAGTCCTATTTCATAGTAGTTTAATTACTGACAGAAAATTTAACCCCCTTAATTTTGCAAATTATTTATTAAGAGAAGAGGATCATGGGCCTCAGTGAGATGGGCCAACATGTGAAGAGCCTTAGCGGCAAGACCCTGAGTTTAAACTCTGGGACAAGTGGTGGAAGGGAAAACCCAACTCCTGCATGTTGTCCTTGACTTCTGCATGTGCCCCCCCCACACACACACCACACACACATATATATATATATATATGATTATACTATAAATACTCATTGCTGGCCAGGAGCTATGTATAAGGGAGAACATTCGGCTTTTGCCTTCCAAAGTTTGGATCACCTGGCGTTTATACTGGAAAAGAGACCAAGAGAAGGAAAGGGGACTTAAGTGTGGAAAAGTTATAATAGGAACTTAGGGGTAGCAGAGAGATAGGGGAAGAGAGACACTGAAACACATTCAAAACCAAATAATGATAGCTAATCCCTTGTATGAAAATTTTAAAATTTAGAGAGAGCACACAATCAACTTTCTTTCACACTCAAAGTTATGATCATCCTGATGCCAGGATGTGAATGCAGTGACCATGAGCTGTGTCCCCATGCATCTGAAGTGCCAAGGTGTGAGCTTGTACTTCATACTATTAACGAAGATTGGGTTTTACTCATCTTGGTAGACATAGAAATTTTAGAAGACTAAGCCAATGGGTAATACATAGGTGTTCATACAGGTTACTTTACCTAGCTACTAAATTCCTCTCCTTCCTTACTAGAGAGGTAATTCTAGAGCCCGGAATAGACCAGTCCTGGGCAGATCCAAAGGCCTAGCTACTAAATTCCTCTCCTTCCATACTAGAGAGGTAATCCTAGAGCCCGGAATAGACCAGTCCTGGGCAGATCCAAAGGCATATTAACTGGACAGAACCAGAGGCTCACAGTGTGGAAGGTAGAACATGTTCCTTTAGATGAAGGAAGTTTAAAAAAAAAAAAAAAAAAAGCCCATGGTGAGGTGGGTGCAGTAGTGGCCTTTTAATCCCAGAACTCAGGAGGCAAAAGCAAAGGAACTCTGAGTTCAAGGCCAGCCTGGACTACAGAGTAGGCCAGCCAGGCTACACAATGAAACCCTGTCTTAAGGAAAATATATGTATTTGCTTATTGTAATAAATAGTTTTGAAAAACTGGTACAAGATGTTCGGCTCCCCTGTCTTTATTACTTTTGTTACATTTCTGGATGTTGCATTTGCAATCTGACATTTTAGAGAGTGCTGTAGAGAATATTGTGTACGGGTATGGATAAGCCATTGATTTACTGAGAAACCTATTGAGGACACATATTTCACCTGTGCCTGTGTTGGCAGGAATAACATCCCTGATGTCTGTGGGGTTTTCCATGTAGGCACGGCGTTTTCATCTAAGAGAATAAAAATGTGTTTATACGTTGTCTCCTCGTTCTCTCTGTATGTGTCCAGAGAAATGGCTATGTATCTTGTATTTTCCACACTTACTGAATGCATCTAAGACTGTAATGGAAATATTTTTATTTGAAAAAAAAAATGATGTATAAACATTTACCTGACATCCTAACAGTTTTCAGGGGAAAGTGTGTTCATGGTGAATACTGTTAAGTTTCTTTCGGCGGGGGGGGGGGGGAATACCATTTTTTTTCAACCCCCTCCTAAGGTTTCTTCTTAAATGGCTCACAGTTAAATTTAAATTTCTATATTTAGATAGGATTCTGTTTATATACAGCCACCAGTATCCAGGAAATCCAGTGGGAAAGCCGGCACAGGAGGAGTTGAGAGTCCTTTCTATAGTCTGCTCATTCAGAGATGGTTTAGAGCTTATTTAGTTAGCAGAATGGTTTAAACATTCAGACAGAGGTCCTTCAGCACAAATGCACCATTTAATTTCAGATGACGAAGATGGCAGTGTGACACTCCAAAGCGTGGCTCTCAGGCATGTGTGCTGCTGTTTTACTCCATTCAAAGAAAGGCATAGGGCGGGTGAGAGAGCAGCTTTCATATGTAAATATGTTTATAATACTTACCATGGGGGAGTTGGTTTTGTGCAATCAGCACGGTCTGATCAAATTTGGAAGAGTTTACGGGCACATCTTTCTCACATGTGCTCCAGCATCTTGATTTTTTTCAGATGGACCTATTTTATGTTCCTTCCAACTAATCAAAATAAGAAACTGAGTTTGCCTTTGCCAAAAACTACAACTATCATTTTTCACATTCTTTTATTTTCCAGGTCATTTTCAAGTAAGATTATGTTTCTAGGGCTTCTGAATTCCTGAAAACTCTCGGCTTTGCAGCTCTGAATGCCCAGATGGACATTTCAGGGGATCTAGCTTTTCAGGCGGTGTGTTTTGCCTTGTGCATCCCAGATACAGTTCACTTTTGTGTGCATGTAATTAGTGTGGAAAGAAATTAATGCCGTCCAGTATTATGATTTATGGACTGAATCCTTTAGCCACTGAAGACTTGCCAAAGCGAAAAGTATTTTTTTTCCTTTGGATATTAGAAACAGCTTCTGTTTTTGTTGATCTTTAAAGTCCTGAATGGGGCTATTTCACATCATACCAGCATGGGAGCTCAGATTAATAATATACTTATTCAACTAGTGATACTGAGCGAAACCATTGCACACATGGGTAGGAAGGATAAAATTTCATAAAATTATTTTCAGGTGTATTAATGTATTTCTGGAAGCCGCATATGATTTTTCTTTTGCATGAAAGAGATCAAGGATTTCTGTTTATTGTATCTATTACAGGTGGGCTCATAAGCTAATTTAATTGCATTTTTTTTGATATCTTAAAGCACACGGAATTTTGCTTTTAAAAGCAATAACATGATTTGATTGCTGGATTATTCCCCAAGGTCTTTATTGTAGTAGATTTATCTCTTTTGAGACATTGTGATTGTGCTTTGTGTAATTTATATTTCTGAGACAATTTCCTGCATTTCCTTTGTTGTAGTTACAGCAAGCTGCAGAAGTCTCTCAGCTGCGGGGAGCAAGGGTGATCTCTGCTGAAGATCTTCTGTTCTTGATGAGAAAAGATAAGGTACTATAACATAATTCCTTTGTATCAAACACAAGGAAATGATGGACCCTTGTTACAGCTTTCAAATGAGAATCACAACCACTGAAGCAGTGTAGCTTTCACAATTTACACAACAAAATTCATTTACTACAAGAGTTGTTTGCTTTTTACATGAGCAGATCTCTGATGCCAAAACTGCATTATAGTTCATCTTTATTCCTCCTTATACTTGTTGAGACATTTTCACTGCCGTCTCATGTCCCCTAGGTACCAGCTAAGCTCTGTTCTTGTACATGGGGTCTCTCTGAGGAGCACATTTCTTTTTCTTTTCATTTTGTACCTTAATATTAATAGAATTCAGACTTTCACAGAATTGCTTTTAACGTGAAATACAAAGTTTATTTTCTGCACTGACTTATAAAAGTAAGCAAATTACTAAAGTATTAGTATCCAGATATTTGTATGTCTGTTTTTGTCATATTTTTATAAGCAGATAATTGAATAAATTATATATCAATTTACCTGTTTATCAATATGAAGAATATTTAAAGAAAAAGAAATACATTCAATATCAAAAAGCTTGGAGTCTGCTTTAGGCAATCCATGCAATATGATTGAAGCATATAAGACTTGGAGGATTTCATGGGTTGTATGATTAGATGGGGAAAGAGGATTGGTGTAGTGAAGGATTATGACAGAGGTAAGGCTCCTGGGGCCTTCTAGATCATAGACCAAAGGCCAGGAACCTGGCAGAATGCATGGTTACTGTGATGGCCCTGAGCGTGGCTGAGAAAAGGCATTTTATGGAGACTTGCCAGTTTGATTTGGACTTGGAGGGTCCTTAAGGAGAAGCAGTGCTCAGCACCCACCCTGGTGCTGTGTCCAGGAAGTCCTGAAGGCTGCTGGCTACAATAAGGCCCTGCGGGAGCAGCAGGGAAACAGCAGCACTGCCGAGCCCCTGCCCAGCATGTGCTGTCCCTGGCATTTCTTTCCCACTGACAGATGCGAAGGGTGAAACACACTCAGTCCACACTGGCACGCCTTCCCCTTGATGGGAGGTGGCCACTTTATCCTATAAAACGTCAGGAAGATATGCCACTCGATGGCCCAGGGGTCCAGAACTCTTACCAGAATATGTTGAAAAACCAACAACGTTTTTATAGCAAAATAGTTGTTTGTTTTCTCAAGTAATTTCATTTATATTCTGAAGTATTCCAAAAGGAATGTAAAGTAGCTTATATAGGGAAGAATACTAAACAGAATAAAACTAAAGTAATGGTGCAGTGAAAGCAAAGAGAAAAGGAAAATGGTGAAAACCAGGAGCCCTTCGGGGTGCAGTGTGACTGTTCTTCAGTAGTTGGAGTTTTTGGACAAGCATGTTCTACCACCTGATGCGCTTTACACACCGTGGGATGCGGTCTCTCGTGACCCTTGTGCAGCAGGCATATGAAGTAGATTCTTTAACTTGCACATGACAGAGTTAGAATCAGGTTATTCTCTACTTTGGGCCCTGCTGACCTTCAGTGGTCAGTCTGTAGTTTACCTGACGATTCCTCAATAAAAGAAGACGGTTAGATTTGTTCCAGCTTCAGGGAGATTGAAAATGTTTACATGAGTGATGCTCATGTAAAGAGCTTTGTATAATGCACTGTGTTTCCACCTTAGAAATCTAAAGCCTGGAGATTGTGAAACGGAGCCAGTACTGTCTAGGGTTAGGACAGAAGGTGCTGCAAGGCATTATTAATTGAAGATTGTGAACCAGAGGCAATACATTCTAGGGTTAGCACAATATATGCTACAAGGGATTATAAGTTGCTTACAGTTAAGTGCTATTATCAACCTCTTCTAAATCCTCAGAATGCTGTTCGTCTTTAAGACCTACCAATTATTCATGGGCTTTGAGGTTCCCAGAGATTTCTCAGCTTATAGATACTTTCCATAATATCCTATGGAAGGGTTCTCAGGCCAGGTGTATGGCTCGTTCCTGTTATTTTAGCACTAGGTAGGGTGAAGCAAGATCACAAGTTCAAGTTCAGCCTGGGCTACACAACAAGGTCTTATCTCAAAACTTAAATATAAAGATGAATTGTTAAAATGCATTTTACATAACTTTTTCTTAGAGTATATACAAAATTCCAAAGCATAAGTATGCTTGGCTTACCAAACGCAATATGGTATTTATTGAAATCATCAAAAAGAATTTAAGATGCTTTCTAAAATATACAAAAAGTATTATTGTGATTCTGGAATGTCTGGATGGATGCATGTGAAAACGCCTTTATAAACACTTACATTTTAGCTAGTATTGAAGGACTACATTTTTTGCTTATAAGCTAATGATAGTTCTATTTTCCCAATGATCGTCAAGGACTACTTTATTAAATGTAATTCTTAAAGCAATCTTTTATCAGTAAAACAATGTGTTATAAGCTTCTTACTTTATATTGCAATAGAAAAAACTTAGAAGACTTCTAAAATACATGTTTATCCGAGACTACAAATCAAAGATCATCAAAGGCATTGACGAGGATGAGCTCCTGGAAGGTGAGTAGATAAAGCTTTATCAGCTCAGGCACCCAGATCCATCTGGGAGCTCTGCCCATGCGCTTACACTCTGGCACTTGTTGGCAATTTAACCTTGTGATTTTCTCTTCTGGAACCTCAAAAGGCTCAAGTACCTCAGTTCCTTCATTTCATGGTGTACACTGATTTCCAACAGATCTAGTACAGTACCAAGGTTCAGCACAGAGAGAGGCAGACTGAGAACTCTGCAAGCTCCCTTAAGAAAGTTATATGGAGCAGAGCATGTGGAAGTTCATAGCTAGGACCTACCTCTAAGTGGCAATCCTAGCAATCCTAGGCAATCCTAGGAGATCCACTGAACAGCACCAAGCAAAAGAGTGAGCAGCTTGATGCTCAACAGTGAGACAAGGAGGAATAACTAGGAATAGCAAAGCAAAGGGATCAACATTAGCATGCTAAAATATGGAGATTGTATTCCCAGGGGTGTTATCAGAAGCTGTCCTTTAGGGGTTAAGAGCATGAACTGCTCTTTCAGAGGACCTGAGTTTGATTCCCAGCATCCATGACAGGCAACTCGCCACCACCTATAACTCCAGTGCAGCCAGTCAAGGCCCAGGCCTCTGAGGGCACCTGCACTCTCTCTCTCTCTCTCTCTCTCTCTCTCTCTCTCTCTCTCTCTCACACACACACACACACACAAAACCTACATACCATTTAACATAATAAAACCAAATAATTAAAAGCAAAGCATTAGCACCCGGCTTGTGGTTACTGGGAATTAGCAGCTGTATGTGGTACTCAGTCAGACAAGCCTGAAGTTTCATAGGGAGCTTGAAAAGTGACAGTCAAAGGCACTGTAAAGCTGGTGAAGGAAGAGAATCACACAGAAGTCTGCACCATGGAGGGATGAGACACATCAGGGGCAGCACACTCTGAAGAAATCTGTCACCAGTCTGGCCCACTCATTGAAATAAAGAATCAATGAAGGGCAAGGCCACCAAAAGGAAGAAATGGTTGCCTGATTTTCTACAACAAAACATGAGATGTGTAAAGACACAGATAGATATGATCTATATTTAAAAAAAAAAAAAAAGAACAAGCAAAGTAGATAACAAAACTTGCCTTCTGGAAAACTAGATGTTGGATTTAGCAGGCAAAGAAATCCAAATGAATTATTATAGTTTGTCACATAAATAAAGGAAATTGTATTCAGAGAAGAACAGGAAAGTATGAAAGCCATCCATACCTCACAAAATATGCAGTATCAATAAAGAGATTAAATTTAAAATATATAATCATGGAGTCCAAATGTAAATACAGTGAGTGAGACAGCTCAGGGGCCAGCACTTACCACCAAGCCTGATGGCCTGAGCTCAACCACGTGATGGAAGGAGACAACAGGCTCCTGGCAGTTAATGCTCTGGAAAAAAAATTGCCATGGCATGCACACATACCCACATACAAAATTATTTATTAAAGAACAATAAGGAAGATGGAAGCTAGAACAATAGAAGCTTTGAACTGGCAGAAAAAAGAACCAGTAAGTTTACATTACAGATTGTATAATCTAAAGAACCATGAAAACTAAGAAAGTTGACAGCTTCAGAGAACTGCAAGGCACCGTTAAGTACATCAGCATGTACTGTATCAGAAGAGGAGTATACAGTACACTAATACATCAGCATGTACTGTATCAGAAGAGGAGTATACAGTGCTCTAATACATCAGCATAATGTATCAGAAGAGGAGTATCCAGTGCATTAATACATCACAGAAGAGGAGTATACAATGCACTAATACATCAGCATGTACTGTATCAGAAGAGGAGTATACAGTGCTCTAATACATCAGCATGTACTGTATCAGAAGAGGAGTATCCAGTGCACTAATACATCAGCATGTGCTGTATCAGAAGAGGAGTATCCAGTACACATACATCACTATAAGTGTATCAGAAGAGAAGTAGTATACTTTACACGAATACATTACTATAATGTATCAGAAGGGAAGGAGGGGAAGAGGGGGAGAAAAAGAGAGATGGCATCAGACAAAAATATTCCAAGAAATAGTGAATGAAAACTTGTCAGATTTAAGAAAATCAGTAAACACGTCTCCAAGTATCTAAATAAAAAAAAAACTTCATTGGGATAAACTAAATCATCTGTACTGATACACAGTTTAGTAAAGTCAGAGCTAATCATGAAAGTCAAAAGAGAGGATATCTGGGGACCTTTGAGAAGTTGTTAGACCATAGAAGGAGAGCCCTGATGGGTGGGATCAGTATACTTCTAAAAAGAGACACTCAGATCCTATCTGTTAAAAAAAAAAAAAAAAAAATGCCTTCACCAGATACCAGGTCTGCTTGGACCTAGGATGCCACGGTCTGTAGAACGTTGTTTAAACTTCCCAGTCTGCAGTATACTTTAGAGCAATTTCTACTGATCAAGAAAACCCAGAAGAAAACCCAGAAGGAAACAACATACTTACCAGAAAAGGCTAGATAATTTCCTCCCTAGCATAAATAAGACAAGAATAAGTACTTGTTCCTCTTCTACGCAGTATTGTACAAAGGTTTTAGCATAATATTTAGGCAAAAAAAGAAATGAAAGCACCCAGATTAAACACGTAAAGCTATGTATGTATGTAGCATGCTCTTTATATAGAAACGTATCTTAACCCACCAAAAACGTTGCAATTGATGGACACACTCATGAATTTTCAGAATACAAGATAAATAAGTAAACAAAACAAATGGGTACACATTTCTCATATTCAGGCCAAATAATTCAAGATCATATAAAGAAAACAATACCATGTATAACAGCATCGCAAAGAATGAACTATTTTGGAATAAATTTCACCAGTGACCTGCAAGATTTGTACATAGAGACTGGAAATCACTGTTGAGAGAGAGAAGGCCAAGAAGAAATACAAAAATAGCCAGTGTTCACAGACGGAACATTTAGGATTGTTAAGGCAATAGCCATCCTCAGCTGGAGCTAGTGGAGCACATCTCACCAGACTTTGATGAAATGAACAAACTGATTCGGTCATTCGTGTGGAAATGTCAGATTCTAGAGGGGAAATGATCCATTTTCCAATTTGTACATGACCCAGAATAGTCAAAACCATCTCAACAAGCAGCAAAGTTGGAGGACTCAGGCTTGCTAACTTCACAGCTGTGCTGTAAATCTGCCACAATCCAAACAGGTTGCATATTGCGCAAGGGATGAGAGCACATGTGAGACTCATAGAGAGGCTTGGTGATGCTTGACAGGTTGCAGAACAGTGCCATGTAGAACGGACAGCTCCTAAAACTAGAGACATCAGGCATCTGTGACATCTAGATAATTTAAATTAGCAGACACATAATTATAAATTTTTAAAAATTATTTTTCATTATATGCATATTTAATGTAAACATTTATTAATATGTTCATAGTGGACACCATATACAGTACCTGTATATGACAATAGTTGAGACATCTTTATTTGGTTTGTATAACCATCAGTAGACAAACGAAAAATATTTTAGTTTATTCATTAATCTGTATTTACCACCAACTGCAACATTTAACTACTCCTTTATCACCCTTTGCAGTAACTTTCTGAGTTATATTTTGCTTTTAAAATGGCTAGGGGGTGTAGCTCAGGGGTAGAGTTCACCATGCCATGACCCTTAACTTGTCCCCCCGAGATCAATACAACCATGTAAATATATTAATAAATACAATGATAATTTTGTGTTGTGTGTGTCTCTCATGTGTGCTCGTGTGTGTGTGGTGTGTGTGTGTGGTGTGTGGTGTGTGTGTGTGTGTGTGTGTGTGTGTGTGTGTATGTGTGTGTACTACAGATACCTACATGCTATGACACACGGGTGGCAGTCCACTGTTACATGTGCTCAACTAGTTGGTCTGTGAGTTTCTGGAGACTCCTGTCTCAACCTCGCATCTCCTGGTAGAGCTGTACTGAGCACTGGGATTACACATGTTCATACTGCTTCCTTCCAGCTTTCATGTAGGTTCTAGGGGTCGAAACCCAGGCCTTTAGGCTTGCATGGCTAATACCTTACCCACAGAGCCATATCTCCAGCTCTAATAGATTTCTCTTAAGAGAAAATAATATAACTGTGCCTCAAGGGAACACAGCAGAGAGTTGTAGGGAAGGACAGTTGATGCCTTTTTATATGTACACATGCATACGGGCAGTCACACCAAGGTGCATGTGTGCACAATGCACCACTCTCACATGCAATACACACCCCAAAAAGGAAAGGAAAGCAGGATGTTAATAATGAAACTACAAAGGGAGAAAAGCAGATATTAATAAAATGGAAAAATATACTAAAATTTCAAATTAACAGTGGAAAAAATGGAAGGTTTATCAACATAGAAGAATTAATTTAAGAAAAAGAAGAAATAAAGATCACAAATGTCAACGAAAATAAATTGGAAGATTACAAAATGCTGTGTTCAGTAATGCTGTGTTTGATGAGTGTATGTAAAAATGTAAAGAAAACAAAAGAAATAATATTAGCACTGTATTCAGAATTTTGCGTTAAAACACCGCCAAGAATAAAGATTATAGAAGGCACACTGTTTAGCACAGTGGCTTTTACCCTCTGGGTCATGACCCCCACAGGGGTTAAACTTCCCTTTCACAAGGGTGACATATCAGATATTAACATTATGATTCATAACAGCAGCAAAATTATACTAAAAATAACTATGGTTTGGGGTTACCACAACATGAGGAACTGTATTAAAGGGTTGCTGCATTAGGAAGGTTGAGAACCACTGGTTTCGTGTAACACACCTGTAGTGACTAAATATCAAACCAGCAAAATATCAAATACGTGTGCTTAGATCTTATTTTCTTGGAGTATCATCAGTCATTTTTGTTTTTTCAAAATGTCCACAGAATACTTTTTTAAAAAATGAAACTGGCTAGAAAAGTTCCCTTTTACTTGAAATAACAGTAGATAACTGATAGGGTTCATTGAGTTCACTAGTCTTTAAATGTACATGGATAGTAGCCCTCTTCTTAGCTATTTAGGAAGCATATAGATGGGGATCAACATGAGCATTCCAACAACATGATGAGGGTCATGGTGCTTTGCAGTCACCTGTAGGACTCAAGCAAAATAGTTCTTAGAATTAACACAGAGAGTATCTTATTAACATTGACTACAGGAACAGGTAATGTTAGGAATAACTATAACAAAAAAAGGACAATGGAATTGAAACATATTAAATGTATCAGTTCAACAAAATAATGAATTCATGCTGCTTTAGGTATAATTCCAATAATGTTTTCTTGGGGTCATACAAAAATATTCTAGCTTTCCTATGGAGCGGGAAATGCCCATATGTGTCTTAGGAAAGTATGAAATAGAAAAGTAAGTGTATATATGAATCCTGTGGTGTCATTGGGGATTTTGTGTACAGAAGATTGACATAAGCTAGAATGTCCAAGAACGGAATCTAAGACACAGAAATTTGAGGTATGACAATTTCAGTATAACAGGAAAATGTGCTGTACATATATTTTAAAGACACTAACGGAATGCTATTTATATATAAAATAAATTCTAGATGCAGAAAGACAAAAACAAAATGAAGGAAACCGTAAATCTGAAAAGTAAACTTGAAAATTGAAACTTCACACTGTGGAAGTAGAGAGAAATCATAAGTTACAAAGAACAACAATATAAAAATTTTAGACTATAGCAAAAGATGCTCTCCAGCAGATAGGCAGACAACAACAGGGGCAATAGGAAAGAGCCCTTGTTATCATAGATAAACGCAGATGGAAAGCAGGCTCCTCAGGATAACTGACAGACATGAGAAGTATTTCCATTTAGATTCACCAGATGTCTGCTGGAGTTGTGGGAAGAAATGTAAGAGACAGCTTCAGAATTACTTTCATGAAACTTGAAGTGTCTGTAACATTTCCCTCTTGGCAATGGAAACAGTGCACACCTACAAATAAGATATCTCTCCAGCATTTCCCCAGAGCAAAAATTGACACAAAGTGTCTTCCCATCAACAGAGGATGGACTCAAACCCATGTTAGTAGATATATAGGATATAGATGGTTTTGCAGGCCTCATGGAAGAATCAGGCTTATCCATGAAGATGGAGAGGTCGTTCTCTGTCTTCAACTAGGAAACATGGACAAAAGAGAGGAAAAATGAACCTTTCTTCATAAAGGAAGACTGTCAGAACTCATTTTTAAAGAAAATGAAGAAAGCATGTATGTAAAGAAATACATTGCCAATATATGAGCACAGAGAAGTGTATGGTGGTCGCGTACAGAATGGCCATTGTGAGTTGTGTCTTGAGTTGGGGATTGGCGGATAACATAAAGAAGAGGGAGGGAGGGAGAAGGAAAGAGAGAGAGGGGACATAGCAAAAAGTGGTACTTGTAATATTGTTGGGTGTTTGTATTTCTGTCCTTCTCCCCCACTCCCCCGATGTTGGGGATTAGGGGATTAGACAACAGGGCCTTTTACAGCTACATCTCAGCCCTTGCTATGAGTGAGTATATATGTTCACAATTTTTTATTTCACAAGATGACTTAGATGCCCTTGTTTCTGTGGGTGCTACTGCAGGTGCTGAAGCACATGTGCTTTTTATGACCTTAACATAAATTGTCAAATTTTGAAAGCAAAGCATTCACATATCTTTCATTGATTATACTTTTTAGTAGGTTTCTTTTGTGGCATTTTGTTGTTGTTACCTTGGTTCTATAAAAGAGTATGCCTGTTGGTCTTCCTTTTTTCATTAGACAATATTCCTACACTGTCTCATATGCAGATTTGGTCATGAACTGTGTTTTCTAACATTAATAGTTTATTAATAGTTGTGAATTTTGCCTTCTTCGCTTGTGTTTACCTAGCACACCCTGATTGTTTTATTTCTTTTGTGAGTACCATGGGACAGTATTTTGCCACACCTGAGCTTCCTCTCTCCCTTTCACACTTCCTATGGTAATTACTAATGTGATTTGGTTCTGTCTCTTTTTTATTTGGGGATATTAGGAAGTGATTGATTTTTGTATGACTTGTTTTAGAGGAAAGGGTTTTCTCTGTAAAGATGATTGCGAGTGAACATCACATGCAGTGTTTGCTATATATGCTGGTTGACAATAATGTACCCTTCTCAGAACATTTTTTTTTTCTCTTTTCTGATCTTCATGAAGAAAAACTGAGTGGCAGCAGCAGTACGAACAAGAGACAGAAAATTGCTCAGGATTTGATCAACTCTATTGACCAGACAGGAGAGCTTCTGGCAATGTTTGAGGACAACGAACTTGATGATGTTAAACAGGAAAGAATGGAGGTATGGCATGCCGTTGTGTTTCATAGCAGTAGACTGGCCAGCCCAGTGCCCGTGATCTCGGCTTCTCGCCTGACGTGTCCAGATCAGTGTGCTTTGTCTGGGCAGCACACTCAAGAGCAAGCCCTGGGAAGGGCAGCTTTGCATCCACTCTTGACTGTGAGAAGGAAACACCCTGAGTTTTGACTCTTTATTTTCTTTTATGGAAGTGGTGAGCATTCCCTTCTCTGGATCTGACATTTGCTGTTGCATTTTATTCCATTCATGCTACTTTAGATTAAATATTTATTTAACTTTTTCTCCCAAATTATCCAGTTGCCTGCAGGGCAAAGGTAATTCTTGGTGCTTTTGTCTTGGCATACACAGTGAAGAGCTGCCTTTCAGATTGCTGTTGGCAGCTGCGGTTGACCTCACTGGCTAAGGTGGTGTCCAAGGAAGCTACATGCTTTATATCACTGTCAGAGAAAGCAAGTGACATATTTGCATTCCCTACACATGTTTTCACAATGAATATAAAAATTGTATGTCTTCTATTTACCTTAGCTATCTATACTTTAAATCACTGCTTCTTTAAATACACTCCAGGAAAAACGAAAGTAATGATTGATTTCATTTGAGTGCCTTCCAAAACACACGGTAGTATTCTTAGTTCTCACTATGACTATTATGCTTTTACATTCAAAAAGGAATCTCAGTTTCCCCCTTCTCCTTAAATTGAGCAAGAGAGGTAATTCCAGAGTTCCAAGGGAGTTTCTAAAAGCCTATTTCATTGTGGTCTCTATGCATGCTAAAAGGGGAATTATTTCCCATTGAGTTCTGGAGGTAGCCCAGTTGACATCCATGCATTGTAAATTTAACAACCTTCTTTTAAAAATTAGCATGCCTAGATCCTGGGCTGTGATCTGAAGGCAGTATCCTCTTAGGTATCAATTACCTTAGAAAAGTGTGGTTATCGTGCTTTGAGGCAACTACAAATGGTTTTACTTCAACTTTGCTGCGGGCCAAAAATATGCTAAGTTGTCTAAAACAGATGATAAACACATTTCTGATGTCATTATGGCCTCAACAGGATATGATTTTGTAGGGAATGGTTTCACTTATGATGTGTTGCTTAGGGAGTGAAGTGTTTGTGCTTTAGTTTCTAATATTTTGTATCATGAGATGAGCATGTAGAGAGCCAGGAAAGGAGGACTCTACCAAATTTACATGTAAAGTTGAATACCTGACTTTTTAATTTCTTTAGTACAGTTCTCAGCTAAACTGAAGGCCATTCCACAGGAATCAGGATGGAACATTCTGTAATTAATACTTGGCTCCTAATAGCAGACTAGAGCTGGAAGGTTGTTGACTCAGTAAAGTCAGTCAAGTCTCTAGAAGCAGAAACAACTCCAATGGCCACACACCTGAACCTCTTTCCCATCTTGCACTGTACACTGTACAGAGTTAACCAGGATAATGAAAGAGCAAACTCAGTAAGGACACCTACAGTAGAAGTCAGCCTTATCTAGATAGCAAGCCTATAATTGATGGTTTCGTTAAGCCTGTGCCATACTAGAATCTTCTTCTGCCAACATGACAAGTAGTTTCCATATTTTACTCATCCAAATGACATAGTTGAACTGAATAAAAAATGATAGACTTGTAGACATAGCTGTAGACAGTAGAAGTAGAAAGTGGAACCATTAAGAGCAGAGGCCTTGCCTGCTTCTAATTTGACAGGTTATAGTTTCAGCAGTAAACCGCAGCTGTGGCAGTCCATATGAAACCACTTTGGACTCGAAGACTGCAATCTCTTGCCTTTAAAGCATAGTAGAATAATCAGCCTCCCCATCATTCCATGATTTAATTTTCCTCTAAGCGTCACTTATGCCTGCAGAAACAGTGCGCTACCTTCTCTCATAGAACAGAGGGGATGGTGTAGACCCACCCATGGAGCTGCATTGGAACAGGCTCCCTCCCTCCATCCCCCCTCCTCCTCTCTCCCTCTCCCTCCCTCCCTCCCTTTCTCTCCCATACCTTCTCTCTCAGTTCTCATGTAAAGGCAATTTTGAAGAGCAAGCCTTTTATAAATGTGAAGACTTGGGACCCTAGCTGATTCTGAAAAAACCCAGTGGGTGTGTGAAAAGCATGTTCTTTGCTGCAGTTTTGAGCTGATGTGTGTGCCTGGCTTTGTGTTTCCTTGGAAACTACTTTATTGCTATTAAGTATTTTGGGGCTAGAAATATGAAAACTATCTGAAATTTTGCCTCCATTTACCTTTATCATTCACCTTCATCATAGTCAATCATATCAACCTGTTAGTTCTCTAGCACCAAATGTCTAGCAGTTGGCTAAGGTCCATGACTATGATCTGTGAAGTTCCCTCTAAGGAATAGATGGATGGATGGATGGATGGATGGATGGATGGATGGATGGATGGATGGATGGATGGAGATACCTACCCCTGTGAGTTATTTTAGTGTATTTAAGAGGCATTAAGCATGAAAGAGGAAAATAGGAGGCATCACCATACACGTGAATACAGCGCACTTCTAAATGAGGTTTCTATGTTGAAAATTTTTTTCATTCTAGTCAGCTAGGTGTGGCTAGGTAAATCAGAAGTCAGGGAAGAATCCCAAAAAGCTGGAGACAGATTTGGTTTCTTTTAGCAAAAAGCCCTCTGACAGGAGAGCCCTGCATGGGGAAGAGTTTGAGAAGTTCAAGTTTGTCATTGATTTAAGTCAACCACTCTGTCCAAGGTGATGAAGGGCCTGTAAACATGATCGGTTAAAAACTCAGTGAGCTCTGCCTCCAGCCTAATCTACAAATGGGCAAGGTCCAAAGGAGAGCTGTGAGTAGAGCTTGCCAGAGAGAACACCCTACAGCATATCCCTAGTGACTGTTTATATTTCTGCTATGTTCCAATAGAATCTAATTAGAAAGCAGGATGGTACGTATGTAAGGCAGCTTAACGTTTTGTTTTGTATAACCTTTAAATCGAATGATATGTCAGGTGACTCCCTAATTTGCTTAACAAGAAATGAACTGCCAGTAAGGTTTACAGAACACAGTGTCTCCTGAGGGCTGTATGATAAGAGACATCACCTGTGTTAGTCAACCTAATCTCAGCAGTCGAGTTCTAATTTCCAAGAGCTCTCAGTCCATACAGTGATTTCTGGAGACAAGACAACTGGAAACCTCCTGAGGAGCCAGAGACAGCTCAGATGCTCTCTGTCTTCTGTTTGTAAAGTGTATTCTACTAGTCCCCAGCATACTTAAATAAAATTCCTCTAAAACTGAGTCATTAAACACCTCCAATAAAATCTAACAAACAAGCGAAAGGATTGGTATGACTAAGGTAAGCATTTATAAAGACAATTAAACCCTCAACCCCAATTAAAACCATTAAAAAGAAAAAAAAAAAACTGTTCAGTACATGCCTAAAATGCCGATGGATTTGGGTTGGGAAATGAAGATAGGTATGAAGATAGGTGTGAGGGTTGTGACTCCATGGTCGCCAGTTTGCCTTATGTATGTCAAGGCCTTGGGTTCAGTCTTCAGAATTGCAGGGAGAAAGAGGATATATATATTCATTCTTTAATGTTGATATCTATCTGAATTTCTCAGAAGAAATAGACTCCTTAAAGGTTTCTGTGAAGATACTGCCATCTCAGTTTGGAAAGGAAAAATAATGACAAAATGAGTGACTATTAAATGTTGCTATATGGGTGCAGTATGTGTCATAACGGATATGGGCTCAGGCCAGTGAAATGGCTGCTGCCTAGCCCAAGATCCTGAGTTCAATCCCCAGCACACACATGATGGAAAGAAAAACTGATTCTCCAAGGTGTCCTCCTCTGTCCTACACATATGCAGTGTAGCAGGTAAATGAACACACATATATACAAAAATAATAAAATAATAATGGCAATATAAATGTAATTTTAAAGGAGCAATGTCTGGCCTGATGGAGAGGCTCTGTTCTGACTCAGGTTCCGACTGGCAAGTTCACCACCTTCTTGGTGTCTTCTGTCTCCAGAGCTATCCAGACTCTTCTTTACTAGTTCTGAGTGAAATTTACCTTCCTGGCTCCTTCCTAAATCCTCCAGGGAGCAAAATTAGTGGCAGTAGCCTTGAGACTGAACCTGCGCAACTGCTCTTTCATCATCCAAGTCAGAAGGCACATGGCAACTGCAGGGCCCCTTGTCTTGGTACAAGAGTCCTTTCTAAAGTTTGGACAGGATGGCTGTGCATCCTCCCTTCCCCAGATCATAGGAGTGAAACAGCCATGTGTCAGGGTAAAGATGGACACCAGCTCTCCCAGCAGTGAACTTCTCATCCTGCCCTGGACACGCGTGTGCAGGCATGACTGGGCTGCTGTGAGCATCTCATTCTGCCCTGGACACGCGTGTGCAGGCATGGCTGGGCTGCTGGACTGACTCTTGCATCAGTGTGAGTTTGTTAAGCACATAACTGATTATACTGTTCAATTACAATTTTAAGAACCAATATTTTCTGTCTCACATAATTTTAATTTGATCTTTTTTAAATGAAATGCTTCTCTTAAAGATCAGTCCACCAACTTGTTTATAAAACACCTTGGCAGAAAAGAGTTTTAAAATATCATTGAATTTAAGAACACCACAGGATTTACCACTAATTTACATTTAGTGTTTATAGTTCTCAGATTGTGGTTGCTGTAATAACCAGCATATTTTTGCCTTGAATATTTTGTGGATTATATTTCCCTATTCTTTCTCCTTGACCCACATTCCCCACAGTAGGTGGGCAGATTGTTGTTATATAGTCTGGCTTTTATTTATCTTCACTGGCTTAATCTCAGTAAGTCGGTATTTCTAAATATGAAAAAAGTCTATTCTGTGGCAAGGTCTCTGTCTTAGTGTCTCAGTTTGTATAGTGGAATTAACAAACCATTGCTTATTTGGTATAGAATCCCCCTCCCTTTCTTTACATATGTGCTGAGGACCTAACTTCAGTCCAGTTCTTACTGCTACTTCCTGGTA